CAGTCTGCTTTTATTGATGTGCCAACAGACCCACCCACACTTTGGAAGGGATGATATATTAATAACCATCATCAAAATGAATTAAAATACAAAGGTATATGAAACGGCTTTACAGTGACATGATGCCTTAATAAATTAAGAAAACTAGTCGCTGCAATTGCTTCTCACTTCATGTTCTTCACAAAGTCTTCTCCTTTCTTGATCGAGGCCTTCAGCTCAGGAATGGCCTCAGCAATCATCTTCTCTTCAAAAGAGGAGATTTTGCCGATGCCTAGATTCTTCTCAATGCCCTTTTTCTAAAGGAGAGAGGAAGTGGTAAAAATTTAAAATGACGTTTCTGCAGGAGCTTGTTACAGAAAACCCAACTTGTAACTTCATCAGTTCTGATGAGGCCATCTAAACTTGCGGGCCGTGGGCAGGTGTGTCTAAGCTGCAGTCAGGAGCTCAGGCTTCCGAGCCAGACAGCCCTTAGCTGGGATCCGGACTCTTGTCATTTACTATACATATGCTTTGGACAATTCTTTACATTCTAAACCTGCTTCCTGAGCTATAAAATGAGCTGTCTACCCTCCAAGGAAGCTTCAAGCAAGTGCGAAGATGATGTGGCCAAGGAAGCTTCAAGCAAGTGCGAGGATGATGTGGCACAGGTGGCACAGTCTAGACTTGTCAGTCTAGACTTAGACTTAGGAGATAGGTTAAAAGCAACTCAACTGGGAAGGGGGGTGTGTGAGGCTGCTACATAGTAAGTTAATCAGAAGAGCAGGCTTCGAGGACAAAAAGTGTTCTAGGTAGTACAGTGGGGTGGGAAAGAGCCCTGTGTGAGTCTTGGTTCTCCTACAGTGGAAAACTATCCACTCTTGCACAGGCCCTAGAAAGTGTTCCTTAGGAACACTTAACATCAACCTCCCTAATGGACTCTATTTGGGGGTTCAAGTCTTTTCAAGTTAGTAAAGAAATGGAAAAACATTTTAATATTCACCTGCATCAAATGGCATTAAGTAGGTAAATGTATGACATTAGCAAAAACAATAGTGTCTCTGTCACCACCTCACCTCCTAAAACTACTGTGTTTCTCCGAAAATAAGACACTGTCTTATATTTATTTTTTCTTAACAAGACACACTAGGACTTATTTTTAGGGGATGTCTTCTCTCTGCACTGAAATGCATGGTATGGCTATGCAGATATGGTGCATAGCCATGCCCATCACTAGGTCTTATTATAGGGGTAGGGCTTATATTTAACAAATGCATAGAAATCCTGCTAGGGCTTATTTTATGGGTAGGTCTTATTTTCGGAGAAACATGGTAAGCACCATTTGTGCCATAATACTGTCAGATTCAGGCTGGGCACCTGTAGCTTAGTGGTTAGGACACCAGCCACATGCTCCAAGGCGGGTGGGTTTGAACTCGGCCCAGGCCTGCTAAACAACAACCAAAAATAGCTGGGTCTGTGGCAGGCACCTGTAGTCCCAGCTAGTAGGGAGGCTGAGGCAAGAGAATCACTTGAGCCCAGAGAGTTTGAGGTTGCTGTGAACTATGATGGCAGAGCACTCTATCAAGAGCCACATAGTGAGACTGTTAAAAAACAAACAAACAAACAAACAAAAAAAAAACCACTCTGTTAATTAAAAAAAAAAATACGGGCAGTGCCTGTGGCTCAAAGGAGTAGGGCGCTGGCCCCATATGCTGGAGGTAGTGGGTTCAAACCCAGCCCCGGCCAAAAAAAACCAAACAAACAAAAAAAAAACCCTCAGATTCCGCTTCAATGCCATTATCTCCCTAAAACCTTACCTGGCTCTAGACCATCAGACCTGGATATGCCTCACTTATAGGTCTGCCACTCTGTACACAGTTGCACTGAACTAAACTGTTGAGCATCTCTCTACCAGGGCTGGGGGACTTCTCTAAAGATCTTTGAGTATAATAGTATCTATGAGAAAGGCCTTGGGGTGGCCCAGCAACTCATGAAAACAATTTTCTGGACATGTGATGAATGCAACCAGCCACACATGCTTAATTCTAGCAGCTGGCGACACATAAGAAATGGAAATCTGGCTTGATGGTTTGTAAGACCTAAGGGTTTCTGATTGCTCAATGCCTAGGAAGTGTCAACCAAACCACACAGTAGACTCCAAAACAGCCTAGCTGAAGCCAGCAATGTGACAACGTGGCTCAGTCCTGGATGCATATCCCAAGAAGGAAAGCAAATGGGGTGAGGAACAAGGAGGCAGGACTGTGTAGACAGCACACAGCTGTGCAGTGTCTCTAGGGCTGCCTGGAAGAGGTATGAGGCCTTGCAGCCCCTGAAGTCAAAACAAGAATGAACACAGATAGAAGGCGGGAGAGGCGGAGGGATCAAAAACTACCTGTTGTATACAATATATGCTTTTCAGGTGACAGTACCCTAAAAGCCATGGCTTCACCACTACACAATACATCCATGTAACAAAATAACACCTATATCCTCTGACTCTATTGAGAGGGGGAGGGGAGAGGACTATATGTAAACTAGAGATGCTCTTCAGGTGGGTGTAAGACGGCTGCTTCTCTCAGAGCTGTCTGAGCCACCCTGAGATGGAAGGATCAGTAATCACACTCCGGCAGCTGCTGTCAAATCCGTAGGGAACAAGATTCATGTGCTGGGAAGCTAGTCCTTACAGTCTGCAATTTCTTCTAGCTCTTAATTCTGTGATGATGTGCTTCTACCCTCAGAAACCCAAGCACATGCTAGGCAAGGATATGGAGTTATTACACAAAGGAAATCTGAACTGGGGAGCACATGGGTATGGAAGAGCCCCTGAATCTTACACAGAGACAACTCTCCCCCTTCCATGGGTGGAAGAACCAACCCCCAAGGTACTTACCCCCGGGTACTTACCCCCAGCAGAAGCGGTGTGGAGAAATAGGTACAGTCGGTTTCTTGTGATTTAACAAAGGAACATTCAACAACTCCTTCCTTCCCATTCACTGCATCCAGAAGGGAGAAGACAAACCGTGCACCAGCATACGCCATGGAGAGGGTGGCAGAGCCTAGGAGAGCACCAGCAGGTTAGCTAGGCTGACACAGTGACTGCGAAGTCTAGTGAGCCTGCATTGCCGGCTAAGGCACC